ATAAACATTTTTGTTACTTCAAATAACTGAAATAAAATACTTAAACTGTTTTATTTTAGCTAGTTAACAAGGCAATATTTCCCATTTCATGTAGTTTGTTATGATGTTCTAAAATAACTAACACTAAAACTGAAATGAAATGTAATAACTTTATAGACATTTAAAAATAACAAAACTAATAAAAACAACAAAAACAATAGAATTACTAAAACTTTAACTAAAATGAAAATGACGGCAGAAAATATAAAAATAATGCAAAATATTATCAAAAACTATAATAGTATCTGAATGATACTAAAATAACAGGTGTCAGTGTAAGATGTGTGTACGATGGGGTTGGTTATGGGGGGGGCCTCTTTTGAAAATCTGCTTAGGGCCCCTAAAATGCAAGGGCCGGCCCTCTTGCCTGACTACTGAGAAAATGACAAGTAGCTTTTAAGTTGCTGAACTATTTTACTGATAAAATCGTCAGAGTGGCGCTGACAACACGTTTCTGTGCGTGTGTATGTTTCCATGTGTTTGAGTGTGTCTTTACTGTACTGTATGTGTGTGTATTTGTAAGGAGAAATAGAGTGCTTACCATACGTAATAAAACATAATTTTGTGGCAAAAACATGGAAATAATTTGGCATTTTTATCATGTTGTTTGCTATATTTATTTGCTTGGTCAGTGTCTTTGTGAGTTTTGGTTCTTTTGCTGTTGTAAGCTGTAAGACCTTTTGAAATAATGGAAATCGTTTGGCGAAGTGATACGGACATGTAATGCGGACGAGCCCTCCCTGGAACTACTTTAACCGTGCGTTTCCTGAAAATAATTGCACACCTTTCGTTCATAAACCATAATCAGATTCAAGCATCCAACAGCCCCGTAGTATAAATTACAATATTTTTAAACAGCATTTTCTTCAATATGTTTTTTATGCATGCAGCTTTAATGATCTAATCTTAAATACCCTCAAATTCATTTGGAACCTGAATGGAATATTTGCCCTTTTAAGCATGTATTTGCATTGAACTAGTGAATGTATTAGTTCATATTAACCATTGACCGCTCTGATCTCTAGACGTCGGCATTGGTATCTGCCATTGAAATCCCTTGTAATTAAAACTATCGACAAGAAACTGTTTAGTATGCTGAAACAAAGTCATTCATTTAATGCAGTACTTCATTACCACTGGTTTATAGGATTTATTCAACAGTCACATTTATTTTATTTTTTTTGCAAGACTTGACCTGGGTCACATGGAGTGAATGTAATTTTCCTGTGAAAGCCTCTGAATAGAAAGGCACATAAAAGATTGTGACAGCATCAGACTGGATAGCAATGGTTTAAGTATTGTAACCTGTGCTTAATTTAAGCCGGATCCTGTTCCAGAAAATGTCTGATTTTGGATTTTTCGTTCTGGTAAGGATCCACCATTAGATCGTGACATTAGATCGTGACAGTGCATGCGTGCATATGAGAGCGAGCGCATATTTGGAGGTTATGCATTGGTCCTCAACATATTTTTGACCGTGACCAGTCAGCTTTCTTCAAACTCACTCTCGTTGATGTTTTGTGAGCAGCAGAACGCTTGTAGAGAGTGTAATAATACCAGAAATAATACCAAATAAAGTGAACTATTATAATGTATAAAGATTATAAACACTATAAACCAGGGGTGCCCAAACTCAGTCCTGGAGGGCCGGTGTCCTGCAGAGTTTAGCTCCAACCCTAATCAAACACACCTGAACCAGCTAATCAAGGTCTTACTAGGCATACTATAAACTATAAACTACACTATGCTATAAACATAGTTACATACGTTAGTATAGCTCACTCCAAAACAAATCATATAATCACATGGAGTGAATGTAATTTTCCTGTGAAAGCCTCTGAATAGAAAGGCACATAAAAGATTGTGACAGCATCAGACTGGATAGCAATGGTTTAAGTATTGTAACCTGTGCTTAATTTAAGCCGGATCCTGTTCCAGAAAATGTCTGATTTTGGATTTTTCGTTCTGGTAAGGATCCACCATTAGATCGTGACATTAGATCGTGACAGTGCATGCGTGCATATGAGAGCGAGCGCATATTTGGAGGTTATGCATTGGTCCTCAACATATTTTTGACCGTGACCAGTCAGCTTTCTTCAAACTCACTCTCGTTGATGTTTTGTGAGCAGCAGAACGCTTGTAGAGAGTGTAATAATACCAGAAATAATACCAAATAAAGTGAACTATTATAATGTATAAAGATTATAAACACTATAAACCAGGGGTGCCCAAACTCAGTCCTGGAGGGCCGGTGTCCTGCAGAGTTTAGCTCCAACCCTAATCAAACACACCTGAACCAGCTAATCAAGGTCTTACTAGGCATACTATAAACTATAAACTACACTATGCTATAAACATAGTTACATACGTTAGTATAGCTCACTCCAAAACAAATCATATAAATGTAACGGTATTCAGAACAGAACAAGAATGAAATAAAAATATATAAACCAAAACAAAGCGAAACTGAAAGTACCAGTCGTTAATTGGGCTCACGTAGGCTACCTCTCATTCGGCACAAATCCTAATGTTTTCCATATTCGCAATGTATTTGAATGAAACTATTATTTATATTGTAGAGGCTTTGTACTTCACGCGTGTTCGTATATCGACAGAAATATCATCTTCACATGAACAAAAATGTGCTTGGCATACAAAGTGGACCAGTTTTACCACGGACTATTTAAATTGACCAGTGTAACCTTTTTTGGGGGGGTTGACTGTATTTTATTTTGATAATGAACAGACTGCGATGTTTGAGTTATGAATATGTGGTGTGTGTGTGTGTGTGTGTGTGTGTGTGTGTATAGTCATACAGATAAGAGTAAGACATAATTCGAAAGCACAAAGTGTTTACTTTTATTTTTGCACACTCAATAACAACAGAACATTTGTGATTTTGTAAAATAAAGCAAGGATGCGCGTTTAATTAAAACTGTTACTTATATAAGTCAGATATTTTTTGCATATTTATACCTATACTGTGATTGAACTTTATTTTTATGAAAACAAATTTTGTTATTTTTAATGTATCTTAGATATAAATTTTCCTAAAATCATCCTGGCAACCCATTTTTGACCCAGGGTTTGAAACTGTGCCCTAGTTAGGTTAATGCATAAACTTGTGAACGATGGTCTCTATATAATTGTGGCATCACCGTTTAGTGATGTAATTGAATGTTCCGGGAAAACTTACGTTGTGTTTTCAGTGTCGGTCACAGCGCCTTTTAATTGCTGATTTGGATCTGGCAATTATTCATTTACAAATTAAGCACTGATTTGTAACCATAAGACTATTGATATGCAGTGCGATTATCATGAAAGATCTGCTTACATGTGTACATCTTTGTATTATTTTGTGTATTTTTATAGTATATATACAGTATTATATTTATAAGTGCCTGTCTTGGACTATAACAATACATTAAAAATGTATTTCATGATAGCAATGCAGGGGATTCTATATCACTATAAATCTTCATCTCTTTTTTCAGATGGAAGACACACAGATGGCATCCATGTACTCTGGTCCCAGATTCTGTCCAGCAGGGAATGACGGGAGCCAGTGAATCGTGTGGTAAAGGATTAGAGATGAGAGGTAAGAGAAGTTTGCTCTATGTGAAAGAGTGGATTCTCATGGTACACTAAATAGCCACCTGTTGTTGCTCTCCGTCTGAGATATGTGCATCACTGTGGACGTATATGGCTGTGTTCATGGCTTTGAGCTCTGGTTTGTTCATTGGCACTGTACAGTGTGTGAAGTGTGAATGCAGCATGCTGCAACCATGCTGTGTGATTATGACAGAATGGAAGTGAAAGATGTCAAACATCACATACAATGAAATGGAACAGTCTGCCTTAAGGGCACAGGTGACATGCTTTGGGGGAAAAAAGCGTGTGAAGTCACATTATACTTTTTGATTTACAGGGCTGTTTCTGTATATGTGTGTTTTATCCTGTAATTTGCACTGTAAAAAATATTTTTTTGAAGCTGTAAGTTTTACAAGAAAATACTATTTCAGTCTTTCTACTTTAAAGTTTCATGTTTAATTAAATGTGTTTAACACCATTTTTTTTGTGTAAACATATTCTCTGTAGAAATATCAACATATTCTAACATTTTTGTGAAAATGTCAGTATTATTCCAGATATTAACTGGATTCATTTGAGTACAGTTTTTGATGAACTATGTGTCATCACAGTTGAATGTGATTTTTTTTTAGAAATGTTGAAAACTACTCAAATAATACTTATTTATTACTTATTTAATATTTCCATTCAAATAGTTTGAAATATAATGAGTTTTTGATTTATATGAAAATATCTGTATTCCTGTTTGAATATACATGATACATGTTAAATTATATATATATATATATATATATTTGATAATGGAGTATTGTAGTTATTATAAAGTGTATGTAAAAGAGAGAACGTCTCGGTTACGTATGTAACCCTCGTTCCCTGAAGGAGGGAACGGAGACGTCACGTCGGAGGACCGATGAAATTGGGATCTCGCTTAGAGGGACCAATCTACTTAGAGTGTAAACTAAACGAGCCAATGCACATTGGCATGTGATTATTGCATCCAGCTGCTGCGCATATTCAGGTTTTCGCTGAGGAGCCGAGCCGGTGACCCGGGCGCTCAGCGGTGGTACAGGAGCTGTGGCGACGGGACGTGACGTCTCCGTTCCCTCCTTCAGGGAACGAGGGTTACATGCGTAACCGAGACGTTCCCTTTCAGTCGGTCACTCTCAACGTCACGTCGGAGGACCGACGAAATTGGGATCCTACCAAAGGGCCACAGCTACTGCCCCTTCCAGTGTCCTGTGGAAGCCACCTGCGCCCCTATTTTTTGGCGTAGGCCAGGGCTTCTTCACAAGACGACCAGCTACTGCTTCAATGGCACTAC